TGCATGCTCCAGCTTACGGGGGGGTGTTGAAGAATAACAATCCAAGTCTGGACAGTCAACATTGCAGCCAGTCAACATTGCAGCCATCAGCTAAGGGTAGTTAAGGGTGTTTTGGTCTATCTTCCTCCCCTAGACGGTTATAACCGTAGAACTATCCCTTCCCGCTTTTATCCTCTGTATATAAGCCTTTCTTGCTGTATATTCAACTGATTTTCTCCTACCAATAATCAATGAAGTTCTGATCTCCTCCTATCACTTCTGCTTCGATCATGAGTTTCAACAAAGCAATGGAACAATAAAAAATTACATACTCTATGGTTTCATACAGGGAATCACAAAAAACGCAACCACCCCCCACCCAAACATGTCTCGTCTTTAACATCTCTTTAAAATTTTTGATTGTTCAAAATCTAGGTGTTTATATAGGAGATTAGAATTAAATAGTACTAATGAATGAACACATAAATTCAATTTAAGGATTCAAATGTTTGAAATGGTTATACTTATCATTGAAATAATATTTACGATTACGAAATTAAATACAATTAATTCATACCGATCATAATAACCTGTTTCGAAACACGTTATTGACCGAGATGTACGTATGTTCAAAATGTAAATTGACCTTTCGGAATTCACCAAAGAGTCACAACACCAAATTAAAGGTGCTTAATTGCACTTCTCGAAATGGTGCATGAAATGCACCTTTCGAATGGTGCATTAATTCATGTGCTAACAAATCGAAGTCGTGCAAATTAGCACTTCACAATGTCAAACAAAATTAGCACTTTTCGTTAGTGCAACAAAAACACATCAACCTTTCGTAATTTTGAGTTCTCTCAAATAGGTTCAATTCACACTAATACATAACAGTTAATCCGCGACCGTTGTAAAATGTTATTTGCTTAATTATTATTAATATTATTGAAAACTAATACAGTATAAGTATGGAAATTGCATATTAAAGTACAGATTAATGAAGTGTAGTAGCAAAACCTCCTCAATCGGGGGGAGAATAAATAAAATCCTCCGCCATATGAAAGACTCAAACACACACCAATCGGCTCATAATCAAGCTCTCAATCCGTCTAGCCAAGGAGTCTACCTTGCTCAAATCATGTACCAGAAACATACTTAACCCATACCGCCAAGAACCGGGTCTGCCCACATTTAGCGGGTTGACCCGGTCTCATCAGTCAAACTCCATCCACATGCACCTTCCATCATCAGCGGAGATCAAGAACGCGTCTTGCTTCTAATTCCCACAAAATCCGGTAGATACCATAACCAGTCACCTCCCAAAACGACAATAGCGCGTTACCATCCGGAGACCACCGACGGTCAACGCCGGACAAATCCCTGGAGCTCCGCTGCCACCCACCGACAAGACACCGGCCGGCGACTGGCAGGGCCGCTCCAATAAAAAATGGGGTCCTGTGCAATATTTTAAATTGGACCCTTTTTTAAGCAATTTGTATATAAAAATAATAGTTGTTTAAAAAGTTGTGTCAAAAATTCAAAATATAAATATTGTATAAAAAATACATCTAAAATTTCATTTTAAAAAGTAACATGCGTTGTGCACATTTAGTCATATGATATACACTCGGTTTCATGCTCTTTAAGTCTAACACCAAGATGTGTTTAGTCCCTAAAACCTTCATAGATCAAAGCACATTTTCCTATACCTTTTATAAAAATCTTGCAACAAAAACAAAACACATTGTCAAGTTCTTTTTAATAATGAATATACAAGCCAATCTCGATCACACTTCTCTCCATTTGGCAAATATCTTGTGTAAAACGCTGACGAAAATCTTCTTGAGAATATATCGTTAGGACCTTTATTTATTGATAAATCTATTATAGGACCATCTTTCACACAAATATCTATTAATTTAGAATCAAGGGCATCCAATTTCTTTGATCATACATGTTAAATAAAAGCGAATCATTTGGTTGATCATTAACTACGGTCGACGGTACTAATGGGGTTGTGCAGATCTAAGGAATGAGATTTGCTAATTTTGCTATAGTACTACGTAATGACTAATGAACTTTGCTAATTTTGCTACAGTACTACACAATGACTAATGTATGAGATTTGCTTAATGCGGCTTATATACATATATAATTTTTTTTTTTTTTAAATATGGGTCCCCAAAAAGTTGGGGGCCCTGTGCGCCAGCCCTGGGCAAACATGCCCAGGGACGGCCCTGGCGACTGGAGAACCGCCGGTGACATAGTTTCCGCCAGAAAACCGACCAAACTACTACAAACTACGAACAACACTGAACACAAACCCACCTCTCTCCGGAAGCACCGGAAAATCTTCAGACCATCGCCGGAAAAAACCACAAAGCCATCCCTAACGCCAGACCCCATCCAGATCAGTTCCACCACCCCTTCCCTCACCCAAACGCGGATGGCAACACTCCAAAAAGGCCGGAAAATACAAGGATCATTGGACCGAGGCTGGAATCATCCAAACCATCTCCAATACAATCCAACTCCAGTCACCAACTCAGAGCATCAAAAACCATATACAAGGATCAAGAATGAAGAGGCGAACTCACCAGGAGTGATACTAGCGCCGGAAAAGACTTCTACGATCATACAAACCGAGCAAGAAACCTGAGAAATACCTTCGTTCAATGGTGCATTAATTCATGTGCTAACAATTCGAAGTCGTGCAAATTAGCACTTCACAATGTCAAACAAAATTAGCACTTTTCGTTAGTGCAACAAAAACACATCAACCTTTCGTAATTTTGACTTCTCTCAAATAGGTTCAATTCACACTAATACATAACAGTTAATCCGCGACCGTTGTAAAATGTTATTTGCTTAATTATTATTAATATTATTGAAAGCTGATACAGTATAAGTATGGAAATTGCATATTGACGTACAGATTAACGAACATAACAAAGTCATAAATTTATTCTTTAATTTGTCTGTGTCTGTTTCTTTGTTGCCATTGCCTATGCCTCTATGAGTACTGAATATCAAATGAGATAACATGAATACATCAAAAAATTTAGAAAAATCACAAAAATAAAATTTCTTCGGCCAAGAATTTACCTTAACACTTTCCAAAGTTTAAATATTTGATATACCATATTTTAAAAAATTCTAGATGAAAAAATTAATTGTTGATTTTAACCATTTTAAAAATAGAACATAGAATTTTACAAAAGAAAAAAAAACGTATGAATGATTCAAAAAAAATTAATTATGACTGATTGTGTACCATATCTTTATCCAAAATTATAGGACCTCATTATAATACGTATATATAAAGATGTGTAATTATGTATAGAATGTATAAGGAAGATTTTGCTTAAAGATGAAAAACAAATTAGACCAATTGGAAAAGGTAATGAATATTAATAATTCACTCAAAATTAAATTTGATCCCCAGATATAATTCACTGAACACTGATACTTAAAATCTCTAAAGTTTCAGCACCGGATGCATACATCTACACATTGACTATTAATTGTGCAATTATTTGTTCGAATTCAAGCAATGATAACATCAGAATATATAATCGATCCAACTCAATTCTTCAATTGCATTATATAATATTCGATGTAATAATTTATATAATTGTATATATATCGATCAAAATATTTTAATAAATTCATTCCATGCATCGCACATGTGAAAATATTAGTTTTAAAATATAAGGATTGATCGAATTAAACAAAATGGGGTACAAAATTAAATAAAATGGTACTCCGTATCATACAAAAACGTAACTTTACAGATACTTTGACTGGTTGGAGGTTTAATATTATAGAAGGGATTCAACGATTTCGTTTTAATTAATTCATCATTATATTTATAGATATAGATATAAATTTCCAAGCCACAGCATCGACAATCAATATACACATTGGATCAACGATTTATTCTTAATTAATTCCTCCAATTAAGTTGTTACCAAAAGTATATTCTTTTTTACCAATTAGTCAAAATATTCACCGATATATATATATTATATCATCACCATCAATCTCTTCAGACCAATATCATCTTCTTCATAGCTTCCAAACTCTTTTCAAGTCTCTTTCTTCTGTTGGTGGTTGCTTCATTTAAGTCCATTCATCTTTTATAGCTTTCACCCATAAAATATTTTACTATGCGTATATCATATACCGACATTAAAATAATTTATCTGATAAAATCAGATCTTCAACTTCACAATGGTATATGTTAAGAGTCTACATTAAAAATAAATATAAGAGAGAACATATATGTTTATAAGACTACATATATATGATTAGACAGTCTAATTGATTAGATTTAATCTTTTAGTGTGGTTTGGATGATGTGCATTATAGCCTGCCTAATCCTAGATTACAATAATATGTGTGAAAACACTAATATTGTAATTAGTTGATATAATGATGATTGCAAGTATTTAGAGTGGTGGTGAAGCAGAGAATTTTAATCGTTTGGTCCACCCAAACTTCATAATTAAGAGTTGTTTTGATCTTTTGATCAAAGTACTATACCAATCATTTCAATTCTGCAGAGAACTATGTAATGTAATAAATAAAACTTAGATTTGATTTCCTGAGATTAATAGGAATTATACTTTCACTTTTGCTCTATATCTGAATTTCTGGTTGAATGACTTTTTAGTGAAATATGTGATTTTGATTATTATTATTATTATTATTATTATTATTAAAAAAGAATATTTTAGTAGAAAAATTCTACCATAACCATCTTGCAGATCCTCACAAGGGCGAATTTTAAAATTTTTCTAATGAGAATGAAGTTCAAATGAATTTAAAAATGTCTATCACTGGGATGTTGATTGTGTTCGTGATATTTTTGATCCTCATGATGCTAATCTTATTTTGAATATTCCTATTAGTTTGAGGAGGCCACTGGATCACTGGGCTTGGCACTGGGATGAGAAGGGCATGTATACTGTGAAGTCCTGTTACAAGCATTTGACATTCACGCAGGCTGACGGAAAATCATGGTTAAAGTTATGGAATTTACATATTCCTCCGAAGGTAAAGTGTTTTGGATGGCAGCTAGCTTCGGCTTATCTCCCTACACGGGATGCTTTGTGCTCTAAAAATGTTCAGTGTGGGTTGGATTGTTACATGTGCAGGTTGTCTGATGAGTCTGCGCTACATCTTTTTGCTTTTTGTGTGGAAGCAAAATGGATTTGGATTAATATGGGGCTGGCGCATTTTTGTTTATATTCTGGTAATAATATTACAGACTGGTTTTTATGGTGTTTGAGTTCTTTGGATAATGCTAAGTTGCCTTATTTTGTAATGGCTTGCTGGGCTATTTGGTCAGGGAGAAACGACAGTGTGTGGAATGACATTGTGTTTAACTCGAGTGTGTTCATCCAAAGGGCTTTTAGTTTTTTGGAGGGATGGTTGAGTGCGAATGCGATGGGGACTGATCACAGTGTTGCTGATCCTGTTGTGCGCTGGATGAGGCCATGGCAAGGGTGGTATAAACTGAACTCGGATGCTTCTTTGGATCAAGGTACAAACCGTATGGGGCTAGGCTGGGTGATACGTGATGATCCGGGGAGGTTCATGGCTGCTAAGAATATGATTCTTGATGGATTTTACCGGGTGAAGGAGGCCGAGGCCATGGGTCTACGGGAGGCTTTGAGTTGGTTGAAAGGCACCGGCATGGGAGGAGTGGAAATTGAAATGGATTCACAAGTACTTTTTCATGCCATTCGTTCTGCTGCTTTTAATTCTGCTTTTGGTTTACTGGTAGATGATATTAAAAATTTAGCATCTGACATAGGAGATGTTGAATTTAATTGTGTTAGGCGGTCTGCGAATAGTGCAGCCCATACTCTTGCTAGGGCGGTCTTTTCTATGTCAGATTGCGGGGAGTGGTTAGATTCTCCACCTTCTTTTCTTGTAAACGTTCTTGAAGCTGATTTAATGAATTAATTCCTTCTTCTCAAAAAATGTCTATCACAAAATTTGAGATGGGATATTGGTGTTGGGCTTTGACCCGGCCCCAAGATATGTATGATATAAAATCTTAAGAGAACAAAATCCTAAGCTACTTAAACATACGTCTAATACTTTCTCCGTCCGTAATTGATTGTCTTATTTATTTTTTGAACGGTTTTTAATACAATATAACAAATATTACCCACTTCCCAATTTTGCCTCTCAAAAGTAGGTATTATTTGTACAAAGTATAATTGTACTTACCTCTAGAAATTTGAAAAGTCAAATTAAAAGGGTAAATTGAAAAATGAGAGTGATAGTTATGTTCAATTTTAAAAAGATGACATTATTTTGGGACAAACTAAAAAGGAAAGTAAGATAGGTAAAATGAGATGGAAGAAGTAATTTTTGTATACATTATATATATATATATATATATATATATATATATATATATATATATATATATATAGAAAAACGCTCATATGTGGTCATGTTATTAGGTGTGGTCGTGTGGTCGTATCTGTGTCGTTGAATCAGTTTAATCTAAAGGCTGTGGTAATTCTGAGGATTTTCGCGCGTTTTAGTAAGTGGGGGTGTTATGGTAATTACAATGACCATTTATAGCGGGCGGGTTCCAGAATACACCAACAGTGTTGACAACATACACCAATAGTGTAATAAAACACACCATAGTGAAACACACCAATGATGTATTCCCGTGTTATGGTAATTACAGTGGCCATTTATAGCGGTCGAGTTCCAGAATACACCAACAGTGTTGACAACATGCACCAATAGTGTAATAAAACACACAACAATATGATTTTCCTTATTCCGGTGTTTTATTACAAGTTTACCCTTACAGTTCGCTGGGTAGAAGAATGTGCGCGAAAATGCTGAAAAAATCTTGATTAATATGATTCATTAGATCTATCTAATCTAATGGTCTATAATTGACCATATGACCACACCTAACAACATGGCCACATGTGATCACTCCTCTATATATATATATATATATATATATATATATATATATATATATATATATATATATATATATATATATATATATATATATATATATATATATATATATAAAGTAGTGCTATATATGTATATATATACATGCCCTGCATACATATATATAAGAGGGTGGGAGCGGTGAGGATGGGCAACTGCCCCATTACCCTCCCTCTTTCTATTAGTCCCGGCCTGATTCGTATGTTGCGGAAAGCACATGTAATGGAGCAATACTTGTTTCATAACTTTGTAAAATATTTTTAAGAATAATATGATTAGAGTGTCTAGTGAAGTTATATGATTAGAGTGTCTAATTGATTGAATTTAATCTTTTAGTGTGGTTTGGGTGGTGTGCATTATAGCCTGTCTAATCCTATATTATAATAAGATATGTGAAAACACTAATATTGTAAGTTGATATAATGATTGCAGGTATTTGGAGTACGTGATGGTGAAGCAGAGAATTTTCATCGTTTGCAATGCAAGACAGATAAGGATTGTGAATTTCCCGATCCTTCGAGTTATTGCCATTGTGATGACTATCTTGACGATGTTAATAAGTATTGTATTTGTTTTAAGAGACCACCTAGGCCCCCTATCGCTCGTCCACCCGAACCTGAGGAATCTCCCATTTACAAGCATTAATTAAGAGCCGTTCTGATCTGTTGATCAAAGTACTAAACCATCATTTCAATTCTGAGAAACAAATAATAAATAAGACCCAGATTTGATTTCTTGAGATTAATAGGAATACTTTCACTTTGCCTCTATGGCTCTATGTGTGAATTTCTGGTTGAATGAGTTATTAGTGAAATATGTCTTTTTGATTATTATTATTATTGTTGTTGTTGTTAGAGAATATTTTATCAGAAAAATTCTAGCATAGCCATCTTGCAGATCCTCCACAAGGGTGGATTTGATTTTTTTTTTTTTGAGTAAGGATGAAGTTCAAATGAATTAAAAGATGTCTATTATAAAATTTGAGATATGATATTCTTGTTTGGTTTAATTTTGACCCCATAATATATGATACAAAATCAAGAGAACAAAATCCTAAGCTTCTTAAACATCTAATAATTTTTATATACATTTTATTTATATATATAAAAAGTACTGTTATATGTGTATATATACATACATATATATGTAAGGGGTTAGGGCAGTACCCTTCCTCTAGATCTGCCCCGACTTGATCCTATATGTTGTCGAAAGCACATGTAAATGGATCAGTACTTGTTTCATTACTTTGTAAAATATTTTTAAGAATATTGAACCTACATGAAAAATGTATAGCAATATAGGTTTTGAAAAAACTTCTGGTAGAGAGATCGTGAATATTTATGAAAAACTCTGTTTAAAACTTGATACTTAAGCACTCAATTTGTGACAAACCTCTACTTATTTCTAAAAGTTTTTTTTTTTTATGTATTGATTATAAATTCAGTATTGCTTTATTATACGGTGCTGTTTATATACACTATAACTTATTCATTGATTTTAGAGTAGTGTTGTCCTACCAGCTAACTAGCACAATAGTCACAAAACCAACACCTAATAGTAAAATTTTCCTACCAATTAGGAGTGTGCGTCACACAAGTTTGGACGAATCGATTTTTCAAACGCTTAGCTTTACCCTTTTGATTTTCAATTTAATTTTTTAATATCCAATCCATTTTAAAAAAATCTTTAAACTCATCGAATTTGTTTCCTTTTGGGATTTGGTCGCATATCTCGAATTTCGATTTCAAATTAAATTCTAAAATGGCGAAAAGTAGTAATTAACAAGGAAAACAACAAATTAACAATTGTATTGTACAAATTGATGGAGATCGATATTGGAAACAACCCAATAATAGGAACCCGCCTGGGAGTGCATAGCTCGAGGCATAAGAAGATAGTCCGAGCGGCCAAGGTCTAAAATCTAAAGCAGGTCTCCAAGGCGACTGCGTGGGTTTCGACTTAGTGTTGTGGTCAACAATGACTTGGAGTTTGTTGGTCCATGCCTTGTATAAATATTGCATTGTGTTGACATTACAGATCATGTTTAATTTCCCTACAAGACATATCTTGTCTAATCCCTTATAAATTCTTGTAATACATTTATATCAATCAAGGAAATATCATTGCAATTATATTATTCTTTCTATTTTCATTCCTTTAATTTATGTCAATATGTGAGCTTGTTCATCTGTATAAATGCATACCCTGGATAAATTAGTTCCATCATTAGTGTTTTCATTGAGAGCTCGACATACAAGCTTGATCTTGCTCCACATTGTCAATGGTGAGATTCAACTCTCACAATCCTCGCAACATCAATGTCACCCCTCGAGTAATCGCCACCATAACCACGGTTGCTGCCGCCATATCCACGGTCACGGCCGTCACCGTAACCACCTTTCCGTCGACCGTGTCCACCCCTGCCTCCACCATCCGTATAACATTATACTTCTTTTAATCTCCATCATTTCATTATAGGAGTTTCATTTATGTAATTACTTATTTTTTGAATAATTGAGCTAATGTGTTGGAATGTGGCCGTATCAGATCACCAGTATGTTAATGTAGATATGTAGTTGTGCCCCATACTACACATGTTTAGTAGTACTCCGTATATATTAAGGCCTAAGAAGTTATTAGTAATATTGTGTCTCACTTTCTCTTTAAGTCTTAACTTCCTGTTATCTATTAGTCTCTATTTTATGACTCTAATCTCAATATTAGGTGAGTGCGTTAGATGTTGACCATGGTGTGTGCATAGGTGTGGTATGTCGTTTATGTTTACATTATTAAAACTCTCAAACAAGCCTGGCGTTTATGTTTTGTTGAAGGTCCTTTGAGAATTAATTATGCAAATTCCACTGGAGACATCCCTACTTTGGAGTTGAACCAGTATGCGTGGACCAAGGTTTTGTGCCATTTGTAACATTACTCCTAATTTCATTTTTCTATTTATTCTTGGGTAATAGAATGGTTTGTGTACAATTCTGACAGTAACAAAATCCTTCACAAATTCACTAGGTGGCCAACATTGTATTTTTGGAGTTGAACCAGTATGTGATGTAAAGCTTGTTATTGTAAAATGAAGTTAATAACTTGAGCTCAGGCTTTGCATATGTTTTGAGCTTCCCATTTTTCCATATGTCACACCATTTAAGTTTTATGCTCAAGACTTGTTATTCTTGAGCTTTAGCTTTCAGTGGACACCCGGCATACAAAACTGAATTCATAAGTTAAACTGTTAACATATTGTCTCTCTTATGATTTATTGCAATGGATACCTTATATCATGGTTTACTGACATTATTAGTTGGAATGGAGCATATTTTATTTTATTTGTGATCACTGTTTCAATAAAAGCTACATGAGCTATGATGAGTTTAATTAACAGAAACATTCCAGGTTTTAATAAATTGTATTAGACTAGCTACAATTCTTCTTCTTCCAGAAATTTTCTTTGTTATGCACACGCCCGAATGAAGTAACGCACACACAAAAAACATATACCCATACACGCCCCCCACGAAACACTCACAACTCATCAAATCACTCTTAGTCTTTGCACACACCCACCTACATAAATGCAACCACCATCCCATCAGAAATAATTTTTTTTTTTAAAAAAAGACCACAACAAGATGCAAAGTCCCATTGCTAGAAATTTGCACACGTTATACCACACGAATGCACACACCACCGTAAAAAAAATAATCGACACGATGCAAAGTTCCTTTGACAGGCTAACGCACACGCTACCACTAATTCGTGCACACACCTACGCATCAAATTAAAAAAAAAAAAAAAAAAAAAAAAAAACCGAAATTGCAAAAGCCTATACAAAACTCAAAGTCATATAGTTGGGTTTTGTTGGTTACGTAATTGCAATAAACTTGCACAAACCTAAAAGCAAAAAAAAAAGCACGCTCAATGTTGCAATGCCTTCATAAAACACAATGTTATGAACATGC